GGCCTCGGCGGCGAGCATCCCGCTCTTCATTGCGTTGTGCGTGCCCTTGATTTTCGCGACGTTCACCATGCCTGCGGAGCACCCGATCAGTGCCCCGCCTGGGAAGTCTAGCTGAGGCAGGGATTGGAGGCCGCCTTCGTTGAGTGTGCGGCCGCCATAAGCTATTCGTGTCGAGTCCCCGGAAAGCAGATCCCTATAGTACGGATGATGCTTCATACGCTGTAGTAGTTATCGAGATGAGTGAACAATGTGCGAGGAGAGTTGTAAGATCTTGCCTGAAGTTCACGGTACGGACTGAGGTATGGGTTGGAATAGTCCAGCCCAACGACCAGGCCCAAGCTCACAAAGCCGTCTGCCATATGGTATACCCAGCCGCCACCATACGTCTTCCAGTCCAGCGGCCAGCCCATAGTGTGCACCACCTCTCCCGGCCGATGCTTACTCGGGTCCACCCACCACACCTCCTTCACGCCCATCCCATACGTCTGCGGGTCGCTGTGCTCCCTGAGGCGGAACCGCCGGATGACCTCCTTCGACAACGACCCGTGCGCGCCCTCCGCAAGCAGCGTCACCCGCGCGCGAAACTCCATCCCAGGCTCGAAGCTGTCCTTCATGCGGCCCTCGCGGTCAAGCCCGACCTCGTTCGTGCGCACGCCGAGCACGCCCTTCCCGTCTGCGCCGTATACGATGCCTGCGCCCGCGAAGCCCGGGTAGACTTCCACGCCGAGCTCCTCCGCGATAGAACCGAGCCAGGCAGTTACTTGTGAGAGGGAGACGACGTAGGTGCCCATTTTCTTCATTTGGGGTGGTTGCGGGATGCGGATGGAGGAGGACTTGGTGAAGAAGCGCATGGAGGTGTGAGTGGTGGGTTGGGTGAGTGGGTGGCCATCGCGTTCTTGCCAGTCGGGGATGAGCTCGTTGAGGGCTCGGGGCTCAATCACCGCCCCGGATAGGATGTGAGAGCCTGTATGGAGGAATGATCAGCATCGCAGTCCCGATAGTGGTGCGGACGGCGTGCAGATGAACACACTCCAAAGGGGTGTTCATATAAAATTGACACTGTACTCTTCCGTGTATCCTGTGCATTACGGCGTGGGACTTTTAGTAGAGGTACAGACAAGCCGGAAACGCACGCGCGAGCGCCGCGGCCCCGTCAAGCAATGAAGGAAGGAATCCACAGGGCTATCGCTGTGCGTCCGCAAATCTTACAGTCCGTATAAATTGCGTGCGGCGGTGACTCACCGACTTCAGCACCCTTCTCCAGCACGACCACACGGACCTCTCTCCCTTTCTCTTGTTCGAGCTGCTTCAACCGAATGGCAGCGCTGAGTCCAGCGGGGCCTCCACCGACGATACAGACATCCACTTCGTCCGAGGCCCGCTCCACATTGCTAGGGTCGAATAATTCTCGCCGCCGCCTAGTTGTAGAGTGGAAAGAACGCACAGGGCGCAGGACTGCCCTCTGCTGGGCGTGCAGACGTAGCATAGCTCGCCGGAGACGGGAGACGGGGATGGCGGACGAGTGTGAGGAATGGAGGCCAGTCCGGCTAACGAAGAGCTTGGGATGGCAGACCAATCACAAGGAAAGCGTAACGCGCCACCCCCGCAGTGTTGGGGGTCATCAGATCTCCTCGATCGAGATGCGCAGAAGTGCCGACTCCTGGCACTGCTGTGTCATGGGCGCATCCAGTGCGCGCGGCATCATGCGCACAGTATCCATGTTCAACACCACCACCTCTTGCTGTCTTCTGCGCGCTCTCTGGCTGCTCCTCTAGACATCTTTGCGAATATTCTCATACCTTGCACTGTGTAGATAAGTCGGGAGGCCATGACGGGCTTCGCGTCCATACCGCTCGCCGACGAGGGCGGCGGTGAACATGGCGATGTGCAACTGGAAGGGGTTGCGAGAGTGCTGGGACCAAGATGGCTGCAGCTTCCCGTGCTGACGGTCGGACTGCTCGGTGTGCAAGTGTTCTGGTCAATAGAGATGTCGTATGGTGAGCACCCTATGTTGACCCGAACCAACGCAAGGCGAAATGTCTTTTGCTCTAGGGACACCTTACCTCCTCTCACTCGGCCTCTCCAAGTCTGCTGTGGCAACAGTGTTTCTGGCCGGGCCTATCTCTGGGCTCGTAGTGCAGCCTCTCATTGGTACACTCCGCTCCTTCGTGTAACCTATGTCTGCTGGAATGTGGCAACCAGGTATCCTTGCCGATAATTCCAAGTCGCGGTTCGGGCGCCGGAGACCCTACATGTTTGCGGGGGCATGTATCTGCGTCGTTGCAATGCTGCTCCTGGGCTTCACACGGCCCCTTGCTAGCATATTCACTCCGCCCGGCTCTATCGCAGTGCGTCTCTGTCTACTCCTCGCGCATTACGTGACTGACACTTGGCGACTACGCATAGAACAGCGTCCTTACAGTAATCCTCGCTATTTTTGCCCTATTCACCATTGACTTTTCAATTAACGCAGGTGAGTCACAGTCTAGCTTGTTCACCATCTTATTCAATGTACTTTAGTCCAAGCAGTGGATCGCGCTCTTATCGTAGACACTTTGCCTTCATCCGAACAGGCAGACGGCAATGCATGGGCAGCTCGTATGCTTGGCATAGGGAGCGTCGCAGGCTACTTCATGTCAGTATTTCCTATCGCGCCTCACAGCTTGCAAGTAAACATATATTTACAGAGGGAATGTCGATCTCACAACGTCATTCTCGGTCCTGGGTAAGACCGAACTCGAGGTGCTGGCGGTACTCGGCTCTTTTCTACTTATCGCCATGCATACTGTCACTGCCGCTTGCACTAAGGAGCGGGTTGTCGTTGCCACAAAGTACGTACTACTGTTTTTGATTCAGTTTGTTTTAGAACGTATCCTTGCAGCGGCCCTCGGAAGGGGTTCTTCCAGGAGCTCAAGGAGATATGGTACAACGTCCGTACCTTGCCTCCAGTGATTCGCCAGATCGTACGTCACGTCCCATACTTCACACTGAGCCCTACTAAAACCTGCACAGTGTATAATACAATTCTTGTAGGTATTACCTCCACCTTGCCCTCGTGGACGAGCACTCACTCTTAATGCCGCAGTGCTTGGATAGGCTGGTTCCCCGTGCTCTTCTACACAACCGAGTTCATCGCCGAACTGCACAAGCATGAGCATGAGGCTACACCACAGGACGACCCGGACCTCAATGCAGAGGCTACCCGTCTTGGCTCGCGAGCGTTGCTCTACAATTCAATCATCAGTCTTACGTGCAACATGCTCCTGCCGTTCTTCGTTAGCGAGGCGACGAAGAGCCGTGCGGCGCTCCAACGGAAGCTTAAGAAAAGTCGGTTTATGATGATGTATGACCGGGTCAAGATCCATCTAGCCACTCTCTGGGCGGTGTCGCATATCATCTTCGCTGTATGCATGGCGGCGAGCTTGTGAGTACCCAAACATCACCTTCTCGATGCCAGCGAAATCATGTGCAATAGCTTCTACTCAACGGTCTGGGGAGCGACCTTCTTCACGACCATCACCGGCTTCTCCTGGTCCATAACGCAATGGGCGCCATTCTCCTTGGCACGTCGCCGTCTCCGCTTACGCCAATGTGACCTTCTGATCCTTGATCCCTCGCAGCTCGCAGAAGCCATCCTCAGCGAAGATGGCGCAGATGACCGCGACGCCTCCTCCATCATGCTCGCGGACACTCGTCACCGCTCACGGCCTGCCTCGCCCGACGAGGAGCGGCAATTCCTCGTCGCCGGCCCGGACGAGGAGGGCGAGGGGCTCGAGGCGGAGGTGCGCTCGTTCCGGTCGTCTGTGTCGATAGATGGCGAGGAGCAGGAAGACGGTGCGCTCAGGCTACAGCAGGAGCGTAGGGGCGAGTTCATGGCTAACTCCACGGCGAGGGCGAGCCACTTGCAGGTGCAGGATACTGATGAGCTAGCGTGGGAGGCCGAGGAAGGGAGGAAAGGAGGCGGGCTGGCGGCGAAAGCCGGGATAATCCTTGTGAGTGATCTCTTACACCGGCTGTGAGTGGTCTTTGAGGTTGCGCGACAAGGGGATACACAATGTCTTTATCGTCATGCCACAATTCGTCATGACGGGCGTCGCGTCAATCATCTTCGCGATATTTGACGGCGCCGTCCCGAAGGACGTAGATGTGGGAAGTCCTGGAAATAACACCGCGGCGCCAGGGGAGTTGGCCACGAACATGGCACTCCATGTACGGGAGGGCCTTGCCACACCGGCGAGCCCGAACTCGTATGCGATCGTATTCAGGTAGGTGCTATGATTGACGCACTGTTTGATGTAGCTTACCCTCCCGATGTAGGTTGGGTGGAGTGGCCGCTACGGTTGCATTCGTTCTTACAGTGAAGCTCGCGCGAGAGCTACGACGGCGACAATGACTGCGGTTCAGTTCAGTCAGGTCGCAGATAGAATGTCTATCGATATGCTGTAACGCACAACCCATCGGTATTCACTAGACAGCGCTCACAGGAGGAACACTGATTATACATGCCTGCCGAACTATCTTCGCCGTTCGGAGGATACATCAACAGTTCGTTGATGCGGAAAGGGCACATCCGGATGCCCTGAGTGCGCATCCCTGACAATCCTGCGTGTTTGAAGTGAGTGAAGCAGTTGTGCGAAGCTGGGACTCGCACATACATTGCGATCGCATCACACTCCTTCTCCGCATCAAACGGGCTTGGGATGTTGCCGTCCGACAGATGCTGCTCAAGGTCGAACCACAAATTGACCAGTGGGAGGGTCTCCTCGTCATCATTGTCATGATGCAAGAGGTTAAAAATGTCCGTCTGCATAAAGCTCTCCAAGGACATTCCCAGCAATGATACCTGTACAGTCCGTGTTTGCATTGACCAAGGAAAGATGTGAGTCTTGTGATATAAGAGAAGAAGCAGGTGTGATCGTATGAAAAGAACTGCTGTGGCAGCGAGAAAGCTGCCCTCAGCCCACCTCAGTAAGCACCCAAACAGTAATAAAACAAATGTATGCCAGGACCGTGGATTGAACACGGGACCTTCAGAATACGTATAGTACTTCAGTCTGCTGCTCTCCCAACTGAGCTATCCCGGCATTTACTGATGCTGCCTTCTGTGCTACATACTGATAAGCGGTGTGCTGTTTTCTACTCCGGAGCACTGGGCCGAGGTCACGGTGAACAATTGGTGGGCCGAACAACATGCAACACAAGTATAGCAACGATACTGATCCATCGTAGAGCCTGGAAAGTGCCTTAAGACAGAGTAATGGCATTTGAGGCTTTTATAACATGAACTTGACCCGTGCGCACTGCTGTTTAAGTTAGTGTTCGTGAACGTCTCTGAACCCGTCCAAAGACTGGTCGAATTGCACACTATAATAGCAAAAACAATCCAATTCGCCAGGTACAACTTACAAATAAACCGCCCCGGAGACTATATATTGCTCTTGCGGTGAGCAAGGAATATCAGAGTCATTGCAGAAGGTGTTCACAAAATGCCATGGAGGCTGAGAAACGGCTGTTGGACCACCTGATACCCACTACAGAGACAGGCAGGACTGAGCGAGCCTGGTGCATTGTACAAAATCCAAGTGGAGCTAGTGAGACAAGATATATATGGAAGTACATAATTTAGCGGCAACAGAGTTACCTACGAGCTATGACTCAACCGCATATGGATGTCGCACAAGTTCATCATACAAGTCCGTAGGGAGGTCGCGTACAAGGGTGACAGCGATGCCGATAACGGGGAGGGCCTCAAGCGGCGGGAACGTGCGGAGCAAACGCATGGGGCTGGCGAAACATCAGCATACGCCGGTTGGCTTAGGGTCAGGGAACGCACCTAGACGACGCCATGACTTCTTCGCGCATGAGCAGGAGCTGTGCGATGACACAGAGCACGTTGAGGTGAACGCCAAACGCGAGTAGGAAGTCCCACAGCAGCAACACTTGATCGAGCGGCGGGGTGCATGCACAGAGCGTAAGGACAGCTGTTACACAATGTGAGGATCGGGGAAGTGTGTGGGGTATGGCGGTCAAAGAGACGTACAAGGGAAGGCATAAATCTCTGCGGAAAGATTCTTGGATCGTAGGTGAGTGAAGAGATCAGGATCGACAATCTTGAGGCATCGGTCGAGCAGCTAGAGAGGTGTCAAACAAGACAAAGCAGGAACCGGACAGTGTCGCACGGACCTTCAGACCGCGGTGTACGCCCTCTAGCGTTGGTTGAACATATAGTGGACAGCTCTCTTCGATGAACTTCGCGAAGCAGAAGAATGCCTCGAGCTCTGAGGGCATGGTATAGAGGAAGGGCGCGGCGAGGACGTTCATGCCCTGCACGTATGTGAATCCCAGCTGTTGTGTCTCTTGCCGGTCTGCATGGACACGCAATGGGCCACATCCACTGCAGATGTGATGACATACACACACCATGATTCCGCCACACGAAAGCATCCAACAACCTCACGAGCATGTCTTCCCGTACACGCTCCTTGAAACCTCGGTCTGTTGCCAATGTCCTAGCAACAAGCGCGAGGTCAGCCGGCAGACGGACACCGCACAAACGCATATGTGCATACCTGAAGGTGTCGTTCCTAATCTTCTCTCGCACTTCACATGGCCCCCGCGCGACATACCCTAAGAATTCATTTGCTGACACATCTTGCACCCGCAAGAGTATCTTCCATATCCGCGGCCGAAGCGTAGGGTCCTACGGCGTTGCCACATCAGTACCAGGTTCTGCGCTTATCGACCCGAGCTACAGCGCACAGGACGTACCACTGCTGACGGAATACCATCCACGAGAATCAACCTCCTCAACTTGCGCACCGAGTCTTCAACATCCTGGGGCGTTCGGACTTTCGTAGAGAGTTTAAACTGGTTCAGGATCTTATTGAACGAATGTGCAGCCGCGCTTGCGGCCGACGAGCGTGAGGAGGACGAGGAGGACGAGGGTGCCATGGACGGAGGAACGTGTAGACGCGCGTGTCCATGTCAGTCCGGACCGAACGGATTGATATCAGTTGCCACTTAGCTGATCGAGATACAACCTCCAGCTGGGTACATACCCAACTCTGGATAATCGGCAGCCTTACTCTTGTTCATGCTCATATCCAAGAAATCAGAATCATCTCAAAGCGGTGGGTGGTTAGCAAAGAGGCCAATTGATAGATAACTGACAATGATACATGCTACATTGTACACTATAAGAGCGACGATAACATCGCAGAAAGAGCGATACAGAGCGATGCGTAATACGTAATGTGCGGACGTGGAGACGCATATAGCAACGGGGACGTGACTGCGATCCAGTTTTATGTATGAATACAACGTGAACGTAAACGGGGTCGGATGAATAACGGGATGTATGAATGACAGGGTGAATGAATAACAGGGTGGATGAAGAACAGGGTGGAGAATAACGGGGTGGATGAATAACGGGAGTTCGGGCGCGGCGAGAACTGTTTGTAAGTGGGAGGGAGAAGGGAAAAAGACATGCGTAAAGCGACGCGTCCATCGGACGGGTAAGCACCGTCGAGCGTCGACCATCGTTACAGGCAAGAGCCATCCATGATGCACGACGATGGACACACAGTTTTCGAAAGAAAGCTCTACGCAACTCGTGCTCAGGCAGGTGGCTCATCGGTCTACCCCAGACGGGGTCCGATCCTCAGCCGACAGTAGCAGATCGATCGGAGCTGCCGGTGAAGGCAGACCAGCGCAGCGTTGCTAGAAAACCGCGTGCCGAGGTATGTCCGAAATGACGGGATGGCCGCGTCCGATTCGGACGAGAGTGAGATGATTTGAGGATGAGAACAAGGTTGCATGCATACAATCGTAGAACTGCAGCGTGGAATCGATGGGTGTTGTACAGCTGAGAGTGTGATGGCGAGAGTGCGCGGCGCTCGGTAGAGGCTGAGATAATAAACAGGATGAAAGCTCGGTCAGGAGCAGAGGGTAGTCCGGATGCCGTCCAGGACCTGACGAATCGTGATCATATGCGCGCGTACGAGACAGGGGGGGCAGCATGTGCAACAAGGCAGAGTGGCGGGAAGTGGAGGCATCGGCAGAGCCGCCGGAGGGGTAGGACAAAGGCATGGTGCGGGACAGGGCAGCTCATGCCGTCGCGACGACGGGCTGTTGCCCACTTCGCAGACTGAATCGCCGCTTGGCGTGGTAGAGTCCGAAGCGTATCCGGAGTGAAAGCGCTGCCCATTGTCGTCGCAGACCGGCGGAACAACTTGGCCTGCAAGTAGTCAAAGGGATATTAACGGGTGAGATCTCGAGGCAGAGCGGGATGAAGACATACACGTCGTTTCGTTGTTCGCCCGTGATAGTGAATGCAGCCCGCTGCTCATCCCCGCCCTCCGCTGGAGCGGCAGAGGCATCGGTGCCCGCAGCTCCAGTTCCATCCTCTTCCTTGGAGTCCGTATTCCTCCTCTTGCACAGCACAGAGCCTGGTGCGCTGCTCCGCCGTCTCTTTGTCTTGGCGCTGTATTCGGTGTCCTGTGCCTCCAATGAAGCGTCCTCTGCCAATGGTGAATCCTCTAAAGGTGATTCGTGGATGGGGGACTCGCGCGATCCAGTCGGAGAGGTCGAAAACGTGAGAGGTTGTGGGACCGTGTAGTAGTCTGTATACGGGATATAGTTTGTGTGAGGTTGAGTTGTCGTATGGGTCGTGAACGCGCGCGATGCGCTTGAAAGAGGGAGGTGCTGGTTCCGGGAGTCAGAGTCGGACGCTTCGTCGTCAGAATCGTCGTCGAGCTCGGTCCAGTCGTGTTCCCACTCGGGGCGCGAGGTGAGTTCGTATGAGGGTGAGTACCGCGGGCGGCTCGCGCTCCGCGAGCGGCGCGAGTAGTGGTGAGCGCCGGGCCTGCGCTGGTTGTGGGAACGCGTGCGGCGCGTCGGCAAGGGGAAGTCGGGGAAATCGCGATAGTCGGGGTCGTGGAGATCGCCGCGGTGGTCGACATACGCGCGGGTCTGGGGGTGGGGGTGCTTCGTCTCGAAGGAGAGCGTGGAGCGATACGCGGGGTGCACGCCGGAGGCGCGGGTGCGTGTGGAGGACGAGGAAGACGAGGCGCCGCTCGCGTAGGGGGGGTCGAGGAGGCGCGAGATGTCGGCAGCGCGAGAACTTGGCGAGTACATCGAGTTGTGATGATGGGGGAAGTGCGGGAGGTGTGGCTGTGGCGGGTGAGGGATGAGGGATGTGATGTGGGGGAGAAGTAGATGGTGGTGATGGCGGTGGTGGTCGCCGGGGGGAGGGGCGGAGGAGGAGGAGGAGGAGGAGGAGGACGCGGAGAAGGTGGCGGGGGCGGGGGGAGGGATCTCGAGCATTGTGGAGAGACGTTATAAGTGGGAAGTGCCACTGGAGAGAAACAAAGGTGTCAAAGGGCGGGTGGCGGGGTGGCCCAGATCGATCGTGCTAGCCACGAACAAGGGGAGGAGGAAGAGCAGGCGGGGCAAGGCAGGCTAAAGAGGGCCGCACAATGCAAAAATAAATTTCGGTCATGATCGTTTTTGAGAGAGCCTAACGCGTGTGGAATCGGGCAGATGCAGATCGACGCCCTTCGTCGACCGTCCCGGCGTTCCGTACCTTTCTCGCCGTTCCCCGAGGTCATCCGCTGCCTCCCCGGCCCACAACCGGGCCCTCGCCGACCCGCCCTTTTCCGTTGCCCGATGGCGTCTCGACTTGTGCCGAACCAATCACCGCTCGTCAATCACTACTTTTGACTTTTATCTCAGATGAACTACGCAATCGGGCTGCGACTCAGACTCAGGCCGCATCGCGTCGCGCGACCCCGCAGGTACTTCGATAACGACTACCAACTTTTATACCCCGCGGTGGACCCTCGGTGCTCTGTGATTCGTGATCTCTCACACCGCCTGGCGATCCGAGTGTGCTCCAGTCCGCTACTAGTACACGCATATCGCTACGGGGCCAGGGCTCTTTCATGTCTTCTTGTCTTTAGATCTCACCGTGTCTTCGTAATGATGTTTGCACACAGCCCGACTGGTACATCTCCTGTGCCCCAGACCGAGATACCGTCATGACTTCCGTACAAACTCTAAGTAAGCTTCCAGTTCAAGTCCATTT